TAACTCAGATGCTTCCTTTATGCAAGAATTATCTCAGTACCTTTAAAACGGGTAAAATACAGCTTTTTAACATCTTTATAGGTTAAAAAAAAATAATCTTTCTTGGGTGGCATATGCCTTTGTATGTGCAGTGATGTGCTGTTGTGCTGTAAACCTTGTCTGTCTTTGTAATGTCTCCTCCAGGGTGTCAATGGTGTGGAATTTTCATGATTATCTTTAAAGATAGTGTTGATGATAATGCACTGTTTAAAATAAACTGGATGTAGTTCAACAAACAACAAAAATGATGAAAAGCTTAGGGAAATAATAGCTGAGAGAAGGTAATGAAGGCTGGGCATGTTCATGCAAAGGATAACACAACTGAAGAGAAAAATTACAACTTATCACAAAAATGTAAAGGAATGTTATAAAGCAGGAGGGAGTGGTTTAATTTCACCATTAATCAATGACAGAAGAAGAAATGGTGTCTCATGTGAAAAGTATTTTTTAAATTGAACACGAAGAAACCATTTTTACCAACAGGCAATAAGACAGTCTAGGAAGACATCTTCTGTAATCACTGTCATTGAAAACACTCAGGTCTGGACTTGATACCTGTCTGTTCGGGATTCTATCAGGATAATGACATTTTTCCTGCTATTAAAAGGAAAAAGCATAGTAGCCTATTAGTTTCCTTCAACCCTAGTAATTACACGATTTGTTTGCATATGATATTTGCAAATAAAATGCACTTAATGCTTCTGGTTTTTTTGTTTTTCATTTTTGGGGTTTTTTTAAGGGAAGACTTGACAGATCTTTAGCTTATGTGCCAGGAATTTTGCAGGCGTATTTACTGTCTTTTAAGATGTCTTCTTATGTTGTTACCTTAGAATCCAATCTAAATAAAATCATAGCAACGAGGCAAAAATAAATGTATTGGATGCTGTACAGTTATCAGAGAAAAACGCAAAAATGGAAGCCAAATTTTCACATTCTCATTTCACCTTTTTAGGTATCTGATATTAAAGCACCATCTAGCATATAAAGTCTTCTCTGCTGTATCACTGAAATAGAGTAAAATGTCAATTAAATCTTTATTCAGGGCTTTGCTTCTTTGGGAAGTTAAATGTTTTCTTAGTTTTAAGAATCCATAAAAATTCTTAAAGCTAAGCAGTTACACAAGAGTTTTGTCTGATTAGTCATGAATTTCTAAATAAAGGTTTCTGGTAGCAAGATTAGTGGTATCTTGTTTTTACAGCTGAAGTGATTTCATTTTTTAGCATTTGCAATAATATGCAAAATAAGTGGATACTCTTACACTCTTATAGTGACTGAAATCAAGAAGAGTCTTCTCTGCTTCTGGGTAGTTATGGAGTAATCCTGTTCTCTCTGCAGAGTACCAAAGTTTTGTCTGGTCTAGAGACGGCGGCATGGTAATGGCCTGCGTTTGGGTTTAATAAAAATAATCTTAGGAAAGCTAGGAAATATTCTATAACCTGAGTGCCTGTATTTTTAGAATTGTATCTGAAAATCTCTTGGAAAAGAGGAAACTATTGAAAGCATTATTCTTGAAATGGGGAAATCAGATAAATTGTGAACAACTGACTTAGTCTGCGTTTCTGACTAATGATGGTTAGACTATACATTTATACCTGGCAAAAGATTGTGTTATTCACTTCATATTTGGTTTTTAGTAGATAAGAAACCAAGTTGCTTGTTTGTCCCTTACTTTAGCTAGGGCATAACACTCGAGCTTTTTATTTTGTGAACTGTCCTTGAAACCTGAGATTGTTTTAAAACTTGATTTTTGCCATTTCAGAATGGAGTCATACTAATGCCTTTTAGATGGATTATTTATTGGTTTTATTATGTGATAACACTTATAATAGGCAGTTTCATAAATAATTAGGAATTGGAACAAAAGCCCATCAGGCTCTGACAGCTGTTGCACATAATACCCACAAAGCTTTATTTAATCAAATAAGTTAGAATAAAACCTGAATTTATTTATTAGAATATTTTGTTGAAAGAATCCCATTGAGATGCAGTGTGTCATTTCCAAGGGTATCCTGGGATACGGGCCAAAATATGACACTTAAGGAATGTTATTGAGAGCAACATGCTTTGATGTCTCATTTATTTTGCAGTTGAATTTATTTTCTATTTTTTTCTTTGCTATACGGAAACAGGGTGCTGGGAGATTGTTTACTCCAAAGAAGTTGTCATGCATCATATTCTTTGGTTGGGTGCAAATTACTGCTTTACGAGGAGATAAAGATTATGTTTTAAAAGTGCATGTATATGGATTTGTTAGCACTTCTTAATTCATTCTTCTCCTGGTCTGATGATTAACCAAACATATGCTTCCTGCTTTGTGGTGTCATGAACAACTTCCTGCTGCAGTTCAGTTTACTGAAACCAACCTTCTTTTTGATTTTTTTCTAAAGTAATGCTTATTTTCTTAAGCATACGCATCTCACCACTTTATTCTGGTTTTACTTAGTATTAAATATTTAAGTTGTATTGGAGAAAGCATTCAAATTTCATCAGAATACAGAAGTCTTCTAGACGTCTCTAATTATCTTTTGCAAAATCCACTTTATCTGTGATTAGTATGAAAGGCTGAATGTTTTTGTCAGGAGCTTATAGCTTTGCTTTTGTAATAGGCTGCATTTTAAGCAGCCAATTGGATTGGTGTTGGCCTTTGAAAAATGTAAAATGCTTTGAAGGAAGACTTAAATGAACCAGTAAAGATTGTGCAAGCACACACATTTAATCTCAGGACGATCTGCATTATAGTTAAAGCTCTGGGAAACTAAAGGAATTGCACTAGAGAATAATCAAAGGGTACAGCTTTATTACATGTCTGTTCTGAAAACGAAGGCACTGTTTTCTGTGGCTTAAAATACTAACTGCTGCTCTGATAAAAGGAAGAAGACAGCACTTTAGATACCACATTGGAAGTTTTCAGGGACATGTCCAGCTGTGAAATGGATGGTTAATTTGAATATAGATGTAACACAGGGGCTGCAGGCAATTCTTTCTCATGGTCACCAAAAATAATTTTGAAATTTTTTAAGAAGAAGTAGACCTTCCCGAAGGATGAATCTTCCCAATGAATGACTTTTGATTGTTAGGTCTCAAACAAGTTTGACAGTTTTTTTGATTATCACTTTAAAATTGAAAGCACAGTCATTTCTTATTTGAACGAGAAAAGGACACTTGTTCACTAGCATGCGTTAATCCTTATCTGGGGTGTTTCTCAAACATAATATTTTAAAAAGACTAGATGGAATTACAGTCTCGACACAGAAAACAACATGAAAGATCAATTTGTCAACACTGTATGAACAAAGAAGCTGAAATTTATATAAATTCAAGAAGAAAAACAAATTTGTACTTTAAAGCTAAAATAATTATAGGACGTCTGAAGGACTCTTTTTTTTTCTAGCTAACCTTCCTTGTAGTATGATTCATAAGTCTTCCCACTTCCTTCTTTAGGAGCCATACAGGCAAAAATATGACATGTATGTTTTATTTTCACATGCTGTCCAGCTGAGATGAGTACATCTTTCTTAAATACTTCTTAAATGTACTTCACATTACATTTGATTATTTTCTTCTATCAAAGGGATTTTTAATACAAAACTATTTGTTGAGAATCAAGGGGACTGACTATATAAATTACTTGCTTTTACTCCTATATGCCATTTTTGTCTGTCTTTTTTGGAATCTGACATTCCTTTTTTCATTGTCGTCTATGAGAGCGGTAACTGAAATACCACAGACTGATATTATTAGGGAGGAATTGGTGTTTGGTTTTATGGGTGTTTTTTTAAATCAAATAACATTATTTCCTAAAGTCTCCACTCTGGATCTGAGTTTATCATTTGTTAAGCAGCACGGACAATATCGTAGAGTTTCAGCTAAAGTTGAAATAATTTTTAGCCTTTAGAAGTAGGTGCAAGTGACTGAGGTCAATAGCTGGGGAAGCCCTGGTTTTCAACGTTAACATCAGTCTTTTTTTAGGTTCTTTAACTTCCCTTGTTCAATTCGGATCAGAATTTGTGAGACACACACATACCCATGCTAGACATCTACATAAGGAGATCCTGAGTTGCTCTTACAATGATTAAAGAAAGGTCAGTTTCTTTGCCCGTATTACCTCATCAATTACTTAGCATACTATAGTATTAGTACAAGATTATCTTTAAAAATCCTCATCTGCAGCCTTTAGAGTCTTATTTCATTCACAGAAACACAAGAGCATCTTGTCCTTTTCTTTGCTATTACTATACTGGGATTTTTAAACTTTTTTAGTTTTTTAGCTTTGCAAATTCACATTTGTAAAGTATGCAGTAGGGTCACATCCAGGAATAATGAAAGGCTGAGTCAATCTTTATTTATTAAAGGGTTTTAAAAGTTTGTCTCATGAAAAGCAATTAGTAAGTGTTAGCAGTTGCTTGTGGATTAACTGTAACCCAGGTCAACAACTGACAAATCATCAAGACAGAAGATTACCAAACCAATAAGTACAAGGTGAAATTACATTTCTACCTAAAAAAAACTTCAATAACAAAAAGCAAAAAACCCCTTCAGACAAAAAAACCCCTGAAACACCCAATCCCTACCCCCCAAAACCTTCCTTCAAGTATTGGAGCTCTAGAAGTACATATTCTTGCATCTTTGGCAGAGCTCATTTGCTGATCTTAATTGCTAGGATGTGTTTCAAAAGAATTAACTTTCCGTCCCTCCATATGTGTGTGCACATTTTAACAGGATGTCAGTTCTCATCTGTCCCTACCTCGTAACTGCTGTGGTCACATACTGCGTTTTTTACATTGCTTCTAGAAACGCCACCTTCCGTTCTCAGATTTGAGCCTGTGGACTTATCATAGTAATTCTATATAAACGTCTGCTTGGCTGGAATGTCATAAAGCATCAATTACTGTGAGCTCAATAAATACAGAGTTGTGCTATGTTAGGGGAGGGAAAAAAACTGGAATCCGTTTTCTAGGCCAATGGCACACAGCGGAGTCATTTTCTTAACTCCTCTAAGAGGCATTTTCAACTATAAAGGTTATATTCAGTTGAGTATCTTCTCTTTCAACGAGAGTCCTAAAGGTGGAGGAGGGATTCAGATTCTGGACTCCTGTGTTGCAGATGTCCACGGGTCAGCTGTGTGCGATTTCTGTACATTGACTTGGATGTTTTAGGGAAGCTTAATATGCATTAGAGCATCCTAATACCTACAAATTTCAGTCATTTTCAAGCTTTCTTTTAAATGGTTTACTGCTGCATGAGATCCTTGACTGAATAGTTGGAGTCCCTTTAAGAAAACATTGTGTTAAATACCAAGACCAGGCACGCTTTAGCTGCAAACTTGAGTACGATAAAAGTTCAACCACAGGTTAGCTGGTCTTTGTAAATGTGTCTTGCTGACATTTTAGGTACGTATATTTCTTAAAATATTTTAAGGCTACCCTAGTTGTTCCTGTATTTCTAGAAGGAACAGTATCCTACATTATTGCACAGTAACCTGTTTATATGCATGCATTGTTTGGGAGACAGTCTCCTGTTATTATACATACAGCAAATCACTACTCTAAAGTGAGAAGGAGCTACTGCAGAGGGAAGACAGTGAGGGGTTGAACCGAGGGCTGAGCAGGCCTGTGGTCTTCACCAGCCCTGGAAGACACAGTGCAGACCTGTGTCATCTCTTGATACGGTGTCTTTCTGGACAGTTGTAGTCCCTAAAGCACTCTCTGGAAGATACAGTGCGGAGCAGCCAAGTCTCCTTCACTGGTCTGAGGTGATCTGTGTCTTACAGAAGCAAACTGCAGCTCCTGAATGACACGCAGAGCTCATTTTGAGGAGTTTTCTTCTCAGCCACCTCTTGCCTGCAGAGACGATGTGCCCACCAGCAGTGGCATCTGCGTGCGGTGGTTGTGGCATGTGCTCAGTGAGTCCCCGGCGCAGGTCTGTGGCTCAGTGGCTTTGTGTTTGCGTGAGTGACCTGTCCCTTTGCACTAGTGACTTCCCTGAGCATCAGCTGCTGGAGGAACAGCCAGCAAAGACGTACAACTCTGGAATATGGTAAAAAGTAATCATCTGCCTCCAAAATGAAAAGGGTGGCAGGTTTCAGCTGAGACAGTGTTTCGTTTGTGCAGGTGTGTTATAGCTTGTTTTTAAGGTATGGAGGCGAGTTTTGGATCCATCATGATCCTTTTACATCTGAGTATTCTTTTCCTTCGTAAAAAATAACAAAAGAAATGGTCTTGTGTTTCTCTTTGGGTTGTGAGCACATGAAGCCTGTTGCTGAATTAGGACTGTTTATGTCCATTTCAGATTAAGTTCTTGTCTAGAATTCCTGCCTTTTTAGGAATTTTGGCTGGGCTTTTTTTTTTTTCCCTCTTCTACTGGTTTTGTGTGATTTTTTTTTTTTTCTCTGATAACATACAGATTGGGCTTTGTTTATCTTCTGTATCTTCTATTTGTGGAGATTGTTGCTGAAGTCATTGTGAATGTTTTAATTTTTTTATTCTATACATTTACTCCTTGATCACTTTAAAGTTATAGATGCATATATAATATTCTAAAATAGGATTGACTGTAATATTTTAAAGGGAATTACCTTGAAACATCAAATAGCCTTGTAATATCTTTTGGTATGGTGCCACTGAAAGACATATTTGCAGCTCTGCTTTTGTAGTAGTCTTTTTTGATAGCCTGTATCATCTGTAAAAAATTGTAATCTCAGAGTAATTTTGTAGTGAATTCTTTCCATGATGATTTAGAACTCCAGAAAATAAATACTTTCCTTATCTTATAGGCCAGACCAAATAGCTAAATCCATGTTTGGATTGTTGCAGCAATAAGGAAACCCATTGAAAGCAGCGGCTCAGGGGATCCACTTAGACGTATTGAATAGTCTTGTCCTAACTTTCTGTAATATTCAGATAACTGTCCTGAGTGCAGCTTCAGATGGGTTTTCAGAAGTTACAGATCTACTGACCTGTGGAAATATTTCATGTTAAATTGTTTCTTGTGGAATAAGAAATACCAAATGGGATTCGTAACGTCATACTCATCCTAAGAAGGTGTAATTCTGAACTTTCTCCTCCATGACTCTCCAACTCTGACAAGAAATATTAGAACTTTTGTGTTGTGGTTTGTTAAAAAATGTAAATTTATGTTCAAAATTGTTTGTCAGTCTCTCAGAAAATTAGAAGTAATTAAATAGATGGTTCTACAGATTTGTGCCATTTCTGTACCCTCTCATCTCAAGATGGTGTGAGAAGCAGACAATTGTAATAACTTGCCGCTACTCCTTTCCAGCTTAATTTGATCTTGTTCCTTAATTCTGACAGATTGTTTTTAATTTTCCCATCTGTTCCATAAAAATCTCAAGTGATTGACTCTAAAGAAAAAATAATGTCTAATAGCTGAGCCATTTTTAATGAGTTGGTATGCGTTATTTAATGAGACGTGCTGAAGAAGACAAGCCAAGCGAAAGATTGGGCCTGGGGTGGTGGGTGTAAAGAAAGGTAAAGGGCAACCGTATGCTTCAGGAAGTCCCTACCCTTCCCTTTAACCTTAATTTGAGACTGGTGCTGCCTCCAGTTTCAGGCAATGCACATCCTTAGACCCATGGACAAAAAGCAAAGGTTCCGCAGCAGTAATTCCTTTTCCCCTTTTGTTTGGTGCAGTGCCTTCCCTCAGGCTGTACCGCTGTGGAGAGAGGAACAGTCATGCAAAGGAAGAGGAACCCCAAAAGATCAAAGAATAACACTTAAGTAAACGTAAAAACATTGTAGGCTGTGGTTCAACTGTTTTAGGAACCTACACCATAACTCCCAGATATTCTGGTGGTAGGTTGGAAAGAACCCCTGTGCCAGTAATAAACAGAGTGAAGGTTCTCCTCCAGCAAACGCTTTGCTTTAAAATTGCCTGCAAATGATATCTCCTGGGGCAGGAAGCCATCAATATGCAGTACAGGTCTTTGAGAATAGCAACTATGAATATAAATGTTAACATCTGGAGTTCTCCCTTCTGTGTTGGTTTTGATATATTATTATAATAAACATTAGCATTATTTTTAATAATCATCAAATAGCAGTTTCTCTGGCAGCTTGAGACTTCATTATTAAATAGTGAAAATAAATATACAGCTCTTTTACAAGGAAAGTTGAAAGTTTGACTCAACTCTGCAAATATGCCATTGTTTGTTAGTCTAATCTATTGTAGAATTCATAGAATAATGAATTAACTTTCCAATTGCATATGGTGAGGCATAACAAATGGGAGAATGCTACCATGGTAATGAGCAAAATATACACACTTGTTTTTGCAGATTTTAATGGGCTACCAACTAGGGAGAGAGACTTTTGTCTGCATTTTTTTTTTAACTAACAATACCTGAGAGTAATTTAAGTGAGCAGGGAACAGCAGTACTCCACACTTTCCGAGCATCTCCAAATACTCAGTGTGTCCAGTTTCCCTATGACATGTATTTCAAACAACCAAAGAGGATGGGGGAAGGATTAAAATGTGATTTTTAAACCACTGAATGTGGTAGCAGTTAAAACTGCTTCTGGTTTAAATTTGTACAAAATTGGACTTGGTGTCTGTTTTAATGCTCAAGCTCAGCAAGTAGCCACAAACAGGAGATGCTCTGTGCTTATACAGAAATCTCTGGCTCTGAGTGAGACTAGACTGTGCCTAAGAGTTAGACTATCCTAATCTGGGACTGATATAAGGGAAGAAAATGTTTTATGATTTTTTTTTTCTTGTTATTACTATCTAGTAGCCGTGTTCCTAGAGTCAGACTTTTTTTCTTTTTTCTGTTAGGGAAAAGTAATTGATCGATTGCTTACTTTGTCTGAATGGGAGGAGGCAAAAGTGACTTAATATTGGGTAAATTCTCAAGGGCTGTGGGAACACGACCCATTATCTATTCCTCTTGATGGATTTTGGACAAAGATCTTGTTGCATTGTGGCTTTAGTAATAAAACTTCTATGCATTTATGTATTTAAATTCACAGGATGTAAGTTTTTAATAGTTCTGCATTAATTCTTCATAAAGCATTGATCTTTTGTTTTTTTTATCTTCTTCCTCAGTGTGTCAATCCTGATCTTTAATACTTCTCGGCAGTGCTTTGTTGTGGTGAAGCAGTTCCGCCCAGGTAATCCTCTTTTTTTAGATTTACTTTTCCTCTCTAGTGAAGCAAGCATTTAAGGGTTTAGCAGTTAAAAGTTGGTGCATCTGTGGTGATAAAATCTTTGTTCTATATTCTGTTTCTTTGTATGATAGCCCACCCTTTTCAGTTGATCAGAATTTCTAACCAGAGAAATTTCCATTACAGATGAAACAAACGATCAGGGTAGCCTTACATTTTGCTTTTTGGCTAGTCATTGTCCTCTTTTGGATGAAATTACAAACAGCTCTACAATGGTCATGCAATAGATGACTTTTATTTGAAGTTCCTTCTTGAACTGTCTAGTATTTAGTAGGCAGCTTCTGTGCAGAAGCACAATATTCTGTTTGTTTTTTTTTGCTTAAATATTCCTTTTTTGTTTAACGTGTTATTGGGAATTTAAAATGAGGGATATTCAGGGCTGTATGCTTTTTGATCAATACATGGACAGCTTCAATCTGCCAGTTATTATTATGAATTTGGGTTAATATACTATTTTTTCTGAGTTTTTGTATCAGTTATTTTAATTCAAAGCAATATTTACTGTTTGGAAGTTAAAAATTAAATGCATATTCTCTGCATGTTAATTAAAAAAAATCATGAGATATTTCACTGACTGTTGCTAAGAGACCGTTTCAAGACTGTTTGTGGTAGACTTTGTAGGAAACTTTCTAGGGCGGTGTCACGCTGTCCTTTCTTACCAACAGTGATTGACAGGCTCTTCAGTGTTGTGCAGCACTTATACTGACAGTGCATGCTCCTCAAGAAGTGCTATATTGGCTATTATAAAGAGGAAGTGTTTGTTTATTTGTTTATCAATAATTCAATGTCTTCTATTTGCCAGCTGAATAAAATGGCTCATATAGCTGTTGCTCTCTTTGAGGCACTTAGGCAGGAGCCTTCACGTATGTGTGTGTATATATATATGTACTGCACAGCGACATGTTCATTACATCATCCGTATGGAAGTGTCAAATCTGCCTCAAAAGACTGGACTGTTCTTGGAGTTAAACTGTTCCAGAGGCTGGAGCTGCTCAGAAACCTGGCCTTAGGGACAGTGGTCAGTCAGACACCCCAAAGCAGTTCAGTGATCGCAACCATGCCCTGACATTACTCACATCACGATAATTACATTTCCATTCCATGGTTATTGTCTGCCTTGGTGCTTGTTCCACAAAGGAAAACAACGGCTGAGAATTTTCTCATTGCTTATCCCTACCAGGGTCCCTCCAGCAAAGGCAGTAGCTTGTTACTTGCTGCTCACTCACACGGCACATCCCCTGCACATGTGCTGGTTGACATGTGTGCTTGCCTTTCCTTAGGGCGTGGTGTCATGATCAGGTTTTCCCGTTGAAGACTGTGCTGCTTGTAAAAACAGGCATCCCTTCCTGTATGTACATTCCCACCCCATTTCCTTTGGCAGCACCAGCCCTCCTGCAGCCACAGCAGAGGCCTTACATAGGTGCAAACAGATAATTTTGAGGATTAGGCAGCTTGTCTGAGTGGCCTGAAAGAATTCATGCTGGCTTGAGGGGTGGCAGGAGCACACAACTAGGGTGAAGCAGACAGGACCATATTTTTCAGTGTGCTGTGGACTTAGATCATCTTGAATGATCTTTCAAAATGTGTGACTTTATGTTCAGAGAGAAAAAAGTTATGCATGTATCTCATTAGTTTCCATGTTAGTTCCTCACCCGTGACTAATTGGCCAAGGTGTTGGGCAGTGCTTATTATGGTAGTCAATTGATCACACAGTTTCAAATATAATAAAATAATATGTTCCTGGGAAAGGATTAGTACCTATGAATGTCAAAGAAAGCGTACCCCCACTCATGAGCGAGACCGGCAAACTGGCAACAGCAGATGAGGAGAAAGCTGAGGTACTCAACAACTTTTCTGCCTCAGTCTTTACTGGCAACCTCTCTCCTCACCCCTCCCGAGTCGATGAATGGCGTGAAGGAGACCAGGAGGGTAAAATCCCTCCAGCTGTAAGT